ATTCTTGTGTTATTCATATTCGTAAAATACGAATCGAATCGAATATCAAATAACAAATTATTCGTTTTAGGCTTAATCCTTTGCTAAACTATACAATTGAACTTTAACTCTTGCACTCTTCTTATCCTACCCTTTAAACCCGAAATATCGTTTAAATTTAAAAACCAATGAAATGGAATACGGGGGAATTCTGTATCCAAACACTGACATTTTATCTATCTTTGTAAAGTTTCAAGCAACATCAGATCCATTTGCTAAAATAGAAAAAATTTGCAGAATGCTTTATTATTAATCTCGTATTGATTATACAAATACTAGTGCTGTAAACGTTACTTCAAAAAAGAAACTCGTTACCTTTCAAAAAGCGTTGCCCTAGATAATAAAATTATAATATATTATAAGATAAGATCGTTTTATGATTTTTTTAATAAGAATTGATTTGTAAAATTTTAATCAGATAAACAAGAGCGCTTTGTGCATCTTTAGATGTGCTAAACACATGTTCAACTAGTGCAAAGAATGGAAGGGTTTTTATAAATAAAAATTTTAATTGGAGGAATTTATTTATATATATATATAAAGAATAGTCTTTATTTTCAAAAATAACTTTTTAGATCGCCTTCACAAGAATCTTCATTCAGATTCTCGTTAAAAAAATTTTAAAATGTTTATCAGAATTTAATCTGGTATGTGTGTTGTTATTTATAGAAATGAAATCTAATTTTTCTTTATATTAGTCAAGATCCTTTTTAGAACTGGAATTTTTTGATGTTTTCGCCATAATTATCAATTATTAACTTAGCTATTGATATTAGATTCAATATTTGATCATAATTAGTTTTAAATTAAAAACTAATTATTTAACATCAGTAAAAAGGTAAAAAATGCGTTTTTTGGACCTTTAACCCCGATTATCTCCGCTAATATAGTTGCTAATGCGCTAAAATTTTGTTTATCCGAAAATCTTGATTTTTTTGCTCATTTGACGAAAATCAAGATTTTCGGCCGACCCCTTTCATATTCGATAAAAAGTTGTAGACTGGTTATATATGTTCCCATTAGATTATAAACTAAATTTTAGCGCATTAGCAACTATATTAGCGGAGATAATCGGGGCTAAAGGTCCAAAAAAGACTTTTTTGCTTTTTATTGATGTTAAATAACTAGTTTTTAATTTTAAACTAAATATGATCAAATATTGAATCTAATATCAATAGCTAAGTTAATAATTGATAAAATATGGGTCATCTTATGGTCAGTTGAAAACTTGAAATTAATATTTCGAAATGTATATGATCTCCGATTTTTAATTTTTTTAAGAAATATTATCCGTTTAATATTTTTATAATAATTTCTTCAACAATTAGGATGGCTGGATATTTATTTAAAAAAATATTGCGATTTTTATACTTTGAAAAAATAGATGGCGCTATATATAATAGTTTTAATATGTTAAAATTCATTTTTTTATTGATTAAAAATATTTTAATGTATAATATATCATAAAATTGGATTATATAATTTTGTAAACCTTATTCCCCTGAGATTTTCGCAGGATAAAAAATTTTAATAATTTTTTTAATATTTCAATGTAAATTAAAAAATCCGACTAGCACACGAACAAAAAAGCAGGATTAAAGGAGTGCAAAAAAATTATTAAGGGAAAAATCGAAAATCACATTAATTACCAGGCCTACCCCCCCCCCCCCCCAGACTAAGTCATACCCATCAAGATCAAGAATATTATGAAATTGTAATTATCTTAAATTATTAAAATAACCAGATATAAAGAAAATTTCGAAGATTTTGAAAAATTTTTTAAGCAATAAAAATAAACAAAATTATAGTTCTGATGAAATAAGCCGACTCATGCCTGGAATAAAAGATTGTATATCTGTTAAAGGCGAGAAAGAATCAGTCCAAAGACTTATATTAAATAAGCGTAAATAAATATTCAAGATGTTTAAGGAAGAATACCCAAATATATCAATTGGATTCTATAAATTTGCCGAACTTAGACCAAAAAACTGTATTTTAGTTGGAGCTAGTGGCACACACACTGTTTGTGTCTGCGCCATTCATCAGAATGTGAAATTAATGACAAATGTAGAAAAATTTAAAAGATGGGGAATTTTTAACAATTCTAGATTATTCTGAGAATTATTCCTTCATTTTACAAGATGAAGTTCAGGGATTTCATTGGAACAACGTGCAGGCCACTATACATCCATTTGTAGCATATTATAAATTTGGAGAATTAAAAAATATAAATTTTGTTATTTTATCCAAATTTAATTCTAAACCAGAAAAAATAATATATTTTTCAGATGAAGCCGCATCTCAATATAAGAATCGCAAAATTTTTCTGAACATATGCCTTCATAAATACGATTTTAATATTCCTGCTGAATGGCATTTCTTTGCCACTGCTCACGGCAAAAATGCAAGTGACGGTATCGGAGGAACTGTCAAAAGATTAGTTGCCAGAGCTAGTCTTCAATGGCCAAATAAAAATCAAATCCTAACCTCATTAGAATTATATAATTATGCTAAAGAAAATATTAATGGATTCCATTTGAATATGTATCCAATCAAGAATATATCGAAGAGGAATTAGCCCTTCATAAAAGATTTAATTCTGCACTGCTCATACATGGGACCCAAAAAATTCACGGGATTATTCTCATTGATCAAAATAAACTAAAAACCAAAATATATTCTAATTCCAAAAAATATAATATAAAACAAGTTCCGTTTTTAAATGAGAAAATTATATTTTAAAATATTAATGGATATATAACATGTGTATATGATGATATATGGTGGTTAGGATATATAATCGATAAAAGTTATACAAATGTAAATCCGATTTTTACACCCTTGTGGACCTTCAGCCTCATTTAAATTTCCTCTGAAAGATAATATTTTAGTGTTGCCTAAATCTCATATTCTCTCGCTGGTCAATCCTTCTACTCCCACCAGTCGAACATATATATTATCTGCTGAAGAATCTCACAAGCTAGCCAGGCTTTGTATTCCTTTAGATGAAGTAAGATTTAATTAATTTATAAACTATCTTAATTAGGCAAAATTTGTGAAGATTTTAAAAAGTTATAATCTGAATAACAAATAATATATATAATGCACATTGTAATCGATTTAGTATGATATATATACATTAAAATATTTTTAATCAATAAAAAAAATAAATTTTAACATATTAAAACTATTATATATAGCGCCATCTATTTTTTTAAAAAGTATAATAATTGCAATATTTTTTTAAATAAATATCCAGCCATGCGAATTGTTGAAGAAATTATTAAAAAAATAGTAAACGGATAATATTTCTTAAAAAAAGTAAAAATCGGAGATCATATACATTTCGAAATATTCATTTCAAGTTTCAACTGACCATAAGATGACCCATATTTTATCAAAAATTAATTTTGATGTTTTCGCCATAATCATCAATTATTAACTTAGCTATTGATATTATATTCAATATTTGATCATATTTAGTTTAAAATTAAAAACTAGTTATTTAACATCAGTAAAAAGCAAAAAAAGACGTTTTTTAGACCTTTAACCCCGAATATCTCCGCTAATATAGTTGCTAATCGGCTAAAATGTTGTTTATAATCTAATGGGAACATATATAACCAGCCTACGATTTTTCATCGAAATCGAAAGGGGTCAGCCGAAAAGTGATTGATTTGACATGGAATGACCCGCAATGACCCTATATCAATACAACAATGATGTTGATCAACATTAGAATAAAAGTGTATAAATATTAAAATTATTTTTGATTTGTTACCATCTAACTGATCTTCAATTTTTTTGATATTTGATATATATAGATGTCACAATTTTGGACTCAAAGGCCAATATCTGGTTCTGTTTAAACTATTTAAACACCATTTATAAATATGATATAGGGTTGGCAAAATTCACAAATTTTTTATGAAAATAAAAATAATCAATTTTTTTTGATTAAGCGATTAATAAAATATTTTTTAAAAATATACCCTAGAGGAAAATAATTCCTGAGGCAACATGCATTTATTTTATAATATTAAATATCTATTTCACTGTTATACCTAAACCATTGTTAAATTAGCATTTAAGACTCAAAAAATTACAATATAAAATAAAATTTTAATCTTATAAATATGTTTAACTATTTTAAATTTTAATGTTGATAATATTTGATTATTTTATACATTTTTACATAAACAAGAATCAAAATTAAAAAATCTAATAATTATTTAAAATAAAGGACAATTGGTTTAAATAAAATTTATTTAATCATTCCAACTGTACCATACTACATTTTTATTTAAAAATGGATGATTTCACCTAGAATCATCTAGGTGTTATACGAAATGTAAAGGTCTTTATAGTCTAATCCAGATAGACTCTGAGAAAATGGCCCAGCCTTATATATTAAATATCAGAGACCTGAAAAGGCACAATAACAAACAACCTGATCCGGGTTCATTCTTAACCTGTCCCAAGTTTATTAATTTTTAGCTCTACCTGGGTATCTAAAATGTGATTCCTCAGGATGTCTGTGGTAGTAAATAAATTATTAAATGTTCCATAAGGTGTATTTTGAAATAATTGATAAAATTTAAATATATCATCATATTAAGCCATAGTAAAAAAAAGTTGGATTTATCTCAGATTATAGTTAAAGTAACATATCATATATCAAATTTTTTTCAAAAGTATTTAATTTAAAATTACCAAAAAAAATAATAAAAGAACTAAAATTTATTGTCAAGCTCAAAAAATTTAACATGAATCTAAAAAAACTTATTTTCAAACGTGATGAATTAAAATAAAAATTTTAATTCTACATCAAGATGTTGGCTAAAAATGTAAAGTTTTAGCAAATAAATAAAATTTATATAATGTTATTTTATGAAATGAAAAATATAATCTTTAATTCTAGCATTTAATTTCCATATTATCAAAATTTGTATAAAACATACTGGATTTGGGGCACAATTCCTGAACTTTCGATTGAAGGGGTTGCAGGAGTTATAGGGGTACCTGGAAAGAAATTAGAGCCTAGCATATTGCTACCAGGATTGCTATTAGGATTAGCAAAATTTAAAAATTTTCCTGGTGTATACATATTATTTTTATTAGTAAATAGACCATAATTATTAGTATTTGCAGTAATAGAAGGATTAATAAATTCTTCTTCTGATTTATGAAATGATAAAATGGTGGCCTTTGGATCAGTATTATAAGAACTAAATGTTTGCAGTGAGGTTACTAAGTTTTTACTCTTGAAATTATTTTGATTTAGTAGTGGGTTTAAAATTTCATCATTTTTAGCACTTGAATTTAGCATGAGAATGGTATTTGCATACTCTGCTTGTACATGATTTTGTTTGATAACAGATTCAATTTTCTTTTTTTTGGTAAATTATTATTTATAAAAAATATATAATTACCTCATTAGGAGATTTAATAATACTAAAAGTTCTATTATTTTCCATTATATTATTAAGGAATATCTCGTCAATCGCCACTTCTTATAAATTCCTGATTGGCTAATAATGGATATTTATTTTCTGAACTTCAATGAATTTAATTAGTGGTTATTTGAGTTTTTTTTAAAATAATTTTATTGAACTTCAATGAATTTATTATCAATTATATATTAGATTTTTTTTTACTCATTATATTTAACCTGACAATCCAATTAAATTCTTATTTTAAATTAGGCTGAATTCATATATTTTTTCTTTATTATGTAAAATAAATATTATTGAAAAGTGTAATCATTGTGGGACACATTATCCTGGACCCGTCCCAGCTTCAAATAATCGTAGCAGAAGATTTATTAATATATAATGTAACAAAAACCTTTAATCATAAGGTATTTGATCACATGACTTCTTTACCTGAATTTATGAAATTTAGATGAATACCAGATGATTCCATTTATCGTAAATTTTTCTAGGTTATCAGTTGGATCTATATTATTATTCTTGTAAAATAATGTGATATGCGATTAATAAAATTTATTTAGGCTTTTTGCTATTTTGTCTTTATATTTTCTAGTTGGAGTTTTATATCGAAAATGTTATAGGCGACACTCTGGTTATGAAATTCTTCCAAACCATGATTTTTGGGTGGATTTACCATTTTTAATAAGAGTTATTATGAATATTAAATTAATATATTAATTTATTTAGTAGGATGGATATATGTATATGGTTAGAGGTTGTCAGGTTGAACCTTTTTACGACCAGATATAATCTCAGATATTTACTAATTTGTGTAGTTCTTAATTTTTTCAGTTATATATGCCCGAATATTTTATAATTTATATGTAATTATCTCAAGATTCATATTAATTGCCCTAGGTTCTAAATAACATTGTATATAATATAATAAAACTTTTAAAGAATTACTTATATATTAGTTAATTGTCTTTAGTTATAGAATTATGAATTATAAATACACAAGACATTTTTGATAAAATTAATTCTTTTCACTCATAGTGATATTAATTTTAATTAGATTATCTTTTATATGATATCTAAGCTATCCTTTATACTTTGTGGAGACAATATAGTGACTTGGGGAAAAATTTAAGGTAAATGATTATGAGAGGGGCCTTTTTTTGGGCAGGCATGTTTAAAAAGCTAAGCTTGTTATTTAAACTTCATTTTTTTAAGAAGTAAGAAAATAAAAAAAATTATGTATACAATTTAATTAATGAATTGAGTGGAGAGAGATTTGGATAGGTTTAATAAGTATTTTCTCTGAAATTTGATGATGTATGTTAACAACAAATAATTCCTTTTGTATTTTTGAAATTATATCATATTGACACATTGTTTTACCAATTCCTACTTATATAAGTAATTTAATGATTGAAAAAATTTATACATGTCAAAAATTACCATTTCTGAAAAGTGGAACTTGATGGAATATTTATAACTATTCATAAATTTCTTTCTTTCAAATTTTCACTTAATAAAGTTTTAATGAAAAAAATATGTCTCTAAATTATATTATACTATAAAATATTAAATTTTTATCAAGTATTAATTTATAAAATTATCTAAAGAGGATTCAAATTATAATTGATAGTTATTATTAGTGATGAACATTTGAACCATTTTTAAAAAGGCCTACTCAGTATTTTATCCAGAAAAATATTATTCAAGAAGGTTTGGACATCTATTTGCAAAATCTTGAAGCTTAGGCAATATATTTCTGGCAAAAATATTAAGTTAGCCCTTTTTAAAAATTTGCTAAAATGGAGCAATTTTCTTTCACTAGTTACCATTATTAGATTTAAAAAGAGAAATCAAATTTTTATGCCCACCCACAATTACATATTTTCTAGAGATGGTCACCCCAGAATTTTCACGCCCTAAAAACACTTCTATTGCTACTAAATTTGGATTAGTAAGTAGAAAAATAGTGAACAATCTATTTACATTTTAACTTGATCTGAATCCTTTGGAGTAATGGTGGGGTAAATCTTACCCCACAATTATTAAACCTTTATAAAATATATACCTGATGTTATATAGACGTTTGGTTTTTTATTTTTTAATAATTATGTGTTTACAATTTAATTATTTTTAATTGAGTAGTTTATAAGATATTCAATTTGTTTAACCTTGGGGCAAATAGGCCACACCTTTTCTGCAACAAATTTTTATTAAGTTTTATTGCTTATTTTTTGACTGATATATCGTCACTATAATGTTGGAAATTTATAAAATTATTTTATTGAACTTAAAAATTCATAAATGTATCAGACGCATAAACTTTCTTATAAACAAAATCAGATAACACTTTTAAAGGTTATCAATTATATGTGTTGTATTCCATATCAAATCAACTGAAGATTCAACCCGGCCCTCTTCGATTTTTTTTAAAATTGTATGATAGAAATTTAAAATTTTAATTCTCAACTCGGCTTACTTCATGAGATCATCTTTAGAAACGCGGAAATTCCAAAATAGAACTATATTAAATTTTAAATATCTCCAAAAGTAATTAAGCTAAAGACATAATTTAAATTTTATTAAATATAGAATTGCCAATTAATATGATATAAAAGTTATTATATTAAAAATAGATCTATTACCAAAAACCGGAAATGGCTATAAAATCAAAATTGCTCTTTTTTTTCTTTCAAATTTTTTTTAAAAGATAGATATTATATTTCTTAATGTTTGTACTATTTCCTAGATTGGGACGAGTACTGGGCCAAAAGTTATTACACTTTATATATAATTAGTATGGCTTAAATCCTATATTATACCAAATATAGAGTAATCATTTTTTTAAAATAAGTGGGTAATATATGTAAATAATAACATTAAAACTAAAATCCTAAAAAATCTGATTATTTTGCGTTTTTTAATATTTAAAAAAGCAAAATAGCAATTTTATAATTCTGACGAAAACAGCACTTATATGCCAGGCATGAATAATTTTATATCAATGAAGTTAATGGAAAAAAGAAACAAGTGCATAAGAGATTAGTTTTATGCAAAATAAAAGAATTAGTTACCAATTTGAAATAACAGTTTGCTATCATGAGACCAAAGAAAGAAAGAAGGTGGGCCTGAAACGCATACAATATGCATCTGCACATTTCATCAAAATTTTAAATTAATTATAAATGGTGGTAAATAATATAAGTTGCAAACCAGCATAACTATCCATTTCATCCCTTAAAAGATTAGAAGCACTACATTGCACAAAGTCTAAGCAATTCAGCCCAGTCTTGCTGTTACTTAAGGAAATGTCAAATGTGTCCCGGCACTTTGGAACTTAGAGAAAGACTACATTTATGTCATAAATGATACATTTTTGTAGTATAGCGTCAATCATTTTATATGTATAAATTTGTTTATCTATTTTTTTTGTATATAGTTAAAATGTCAGTCATTTTAATATTAGATATTTTTTTATATATTGTAGATTTTTTTTGATAAAAGATCATTAATTTTTTTTATGAAACTTGCAAAAAAACCGATTCCTTCAAGATTATCAATTTTGTTATGAAAATTACTTATAATGATTATTTTTAGACTTATCAATATTTTTATTAATAAAGAAATTTGGTTGAATTAGTTATTTGAATAAATTTATTTAGAACGTTTTCTAGGTCCTTTTATTTGTAGTTGGGCATTTTCTTTTTCTCTTATTTTCAGAATTTATTTTTCGTCATATTTTTTGACAGTTGTTGACCGCGACTACCAGGATAGTTTCGATTCCAGGGTTATTCGGTATTTTAAGGTAAAAAATATTTTATTTTATATTTTGTATCTCTCCTCAGAACACAACGCAATCACATTTTTGTTTAAATTTTTTAGAAATTTAACAAGGCCGATTTAAAGTAATATAAATTTTCCATATAATGAGATGGGCTTTATGTTAATTTTGATATTGAGCCTAGCTTATTTAATAAAATTTCGGAATATCCGAGTCTTACTTATCAAAATTTGTATCAAATGGTTGATAAATTTGTTGTAAATAATTCATTAGTGACGATTTTATTATTGATCACACTATATGGGTTATCTATTATAATAAAATTTTTGTTTAAATGTACTCTGGTTGCGACCAGAGTATATGGTAATTGGAAAATAGACACTCCGGTGTCGGCTGATTGTTGGAAAAAAATTTCGGTCTTGGAAAGTAATTTAAATTTGGTTTTAAATGAAATCAAGAACGGCAGACCAGTAATGGTAGAAACTTTGGAATGTAATAACGATGATCGTTTGGATAGTGTGGAGAGATCTGTAATTATCCTCCAGGAATTGAAAGAACTAAAAGAAGTGATTAAGATTATGTATCAAGATATAAATAAGTTGGTTATAGCTAATAGTAATAGTAATAAAGGACAAATATGTGGTCCGACAGGGTCAAATGGGAAAAATATCTCCGTTGAAAAAATGGTTTTTCTGATCATAAGAAAAATTTAGAAGATTTGAAATGTACCCGCTGTGGGTATTGGGGCCACAAGGTAGAGACCTGTGTGGTCAAAGAACAAAATTTTCGTGAAGGTTTTTCGTTAAAGAAACTGACATTCGAAAATTCTAATGTTAGAAAAATTTCTGGTGCCAACACGAATAAATTGGAGGTTCTACGATCGAATTATGGCAAATCCCGTTTATGTTTTAAATGTAACAAACCGGGACATGTAGCCATAAACTGTAGCAAAAATTGACTATATGATTGCAAGTGTAATCATATAGTAAGTAGGAGATCGGGAGGGAGAAATATTAATAAAGTAAATAACCATGCTGAAATGAGATATGATTCTCGTAAAAGCAGTGGTTTTAACCGAAATTTTTTTTTATCCTGATGCTAAAAATAAAAATAATAAAGATTCTAATGATTTTAAATGGGAGAAATATCCTAGGGGTATTATTAAATATTCCGATGAAAGGAATATTAATACTTTCAGATGGGAATAATATCCCAGTTATATTGCAAAAAAAAATATGAATATTGTTAATGAACCACTAAATTCCGAGTTGAATTTATGTTCAAATGGGAATTCTCATGAAGCTGATGTTTCAAACGAAATTAATATTGATCAGTCAAATAAAACATGATATTTTAATGACTGAGAGATTAGTCGAACCTTGTCCTTGTCCAAAATTTACTGTAAGAGTTGACTCGAGGGATATTGACATATTGTTCGACACAGGGGCTAGCTTTTCCATAATGTCTAGAAGAAATTATTATAAGTATTGGCCTGGGGGTAAACTTGAGAAAGAATCTATGTGTGTCAGACAATTTGATGGGTCTGAGATAATAGTTTTGGGAAAAACTAAGTTGGGAGTAATTCTCCATGATACCACATTTTTCCTAGATTTATGGGTAGTAAAGAAAGATGTGGAAACCATCATGGGGTGGGATTGGATTGTTCAGTTAGGTCCTTTCAATAATTATTGGAATATTTTTGCCATACATAATGGTTCGGCCCTAAATGAGACTAAAAACAAAAATATTGCTAATAATGCTCGAAAAAATATTCATGAAATAGAAGGGACAGGTTTAACTGTAAAAAAGATAATTCAACCCGTAATTCTGATAGTTATGTAAATTCCACGGAATCAATGGTTGAAAACAATAGTAGCATTGATGAAACCCCAATGGTTGCTATTGGTATTCATGAATTACATAAAATGCGTGAAAATATATCTCGTTTAATGAAGAAATATGAAATAATTTTCGAAGACAAATTAGGTTGTCTTAATGATTATCAAGTAGATATAAAATTAAGGGAGGGATTTTTCTAGCGTGTCGACGAGTTCCTTTTGAATGGAAAAAAGAAATTGACGAAGAATTGGATCAGTGGGTTAAAGATGCCATTTTTGTTCCAGTGGAATATAGTGTATGGGCAACCCCGTTGGTACCGGTTAAGAAATCAAATGGTAAATTGAGGCTCTGTGCTAATTTCAGAGTAACCGTTAATCGATGGGTAGCAGAAGTTAAATACCCTTTGCCTCGAATTGAGGAAATTTTGGCTCAGTTGAAGGGAGCGAAATATTTTTCAAAGGTTGATTTTTCGTCAGCCTATTTACAATTACCTTTGAGGGAGGAGATTCGTAAATTATTGACGATCACGACTCCTAAAGGGTTGTTCGCTTTTTGTAGATTACCATTTGGGTTGAGTGTGTCAGCACCTATTTTTCAGCGTACCATGGCGTCCGTTTTCCAAGGACTAGAGGGGGTATTTTATTACATGGATGAT